GACAGTTTTGGACATTCTACGGGCAATCTGTCGTTCAACAGCTTCATTTTTCTTGGAAAATGAAGGATGTGTTAAATGCTTGTCCTACAGAATTGTAATTTTAATTATAAACTTATAGTAAATTCTTGTCTACTTATAGTACACCTCGGCTTCTTCCGTGTAACTTTCACAGAAATATTTACTTATCAACTTTCAATTTGAAAACAATAGTCGTTTCAGAGATCCACCCGCATTACAGCTAGGAGAAATAAATTGTGTAACCTTGTGGTTATTTTGTGTTTATGTACTTGTTTATTACACAAACTGAATATAACATAACGTACAAACTTCACGCTACTTTGTCATAACTACATCACTGGTCATCACATACCTCTCACTGAATATCTGATATCATCGTCAAAGATAATGTTTGACGCAAAAATGAATTCAATTTTACCACACTTTCACAATTTCAGAAGCCTGGAACACGTTCGCCCTGCCAAGGGCGTAAATCAACTCGTGGCATAGACTCGCTTTGGCAACCTACTCGTTGATTTCTGAAAATAATAAAGAAACTTTAGAAAGCAATAAAAAACACTTTTGGAAGTACTTCATTATCTATTTAGCGGTCGTTAAACTTAGTGTTCAGAACAATTGAGAGACATTTTTTCATTAACAATAAAACTTACGCAAATGAAGCTTGGAAGAATGCAAAGGTGCATTTGAGCTAGGTCATCTGAATTGTCACACATAATTCGTGCTAAGCTTGCTTTTCGAATACTATTTAATTGTTCTGCAGAGAGAAAACCTCTGTTAGTAATAACGAAATATAACTGTATGTTAGTAATGTAAATGCTATTTTTTGTTAAATAAAGCGGTAAATTCCTTTATTATATCAAATGTTTTACATTTTATTTCCCCTTACGTAGTTATATAAGGAGTATATGTGTAGTTTAGAGAAAAGTTATGTAATGCTGCGGAAAATCCACGATAACTTTTCATCGGAAATCATGTTTTGGTGTCTCCTGATGCCGACAATTATTTATTTATTTTTTTTTCCAAAATATGTGTTCGTTTCTCTCTCCATCAGTTCGCCTCTGTCTGTCCATCCGTCTATGAACATTACTAGCGCCTACACCATACGTACTATTTTTTCCTAAATAGATATTCCCCGTCGATATGGTTTCCTCAAGACGCCGCAATTTTGAAAAGTTTTCTTCAATTTTGGAGGCACTTTACATGAAGCTTCTCGGACACTTTCAAAATTTTCTCAGAAATGGCTCCCGATTTTTTCTTTTAAATAATTTGTATGAATGAAGTAAAATACTCTTATTAAGGTGGTATAGGAGAGATATATACTGTTGTCTCTAAATTTTCGTTAATTGCAGAAGTTCAATTTTTTTTCCGTGCCTTCCTACAACAAAAAATTAAAAGAGTGAAGTTTTCTTCATATAAAAGTTTGTTGTTCATCGCGAGTTCTTTCGTTAAAGTCATGTCATTTGAGAATAATACTTCCGTTCTCTATTAGCACCCGAAAAATTAAGACCATTTAAAAAAATGTTTTTTAGAAGGCAATTGATGGCAGTTGGTAAAAGTATGTGCAAATTCGTATATCTAGAAGAGACCGAAGGAAATAGAAAATAATACGGGAACGTCAGTGCCATTCTGTGGACCAATATTTAATATAAAAATATGTTACAACAAATAGCAGGTAGGTAAATATCTGTACAAGTTAATGGTCAGATACCTAGATTAATAAAGAGAGGTTTACAAGCATCACGTGATTGGGGTTTTCTTATTATTCGTATTATTCTTTCTTGTAATCTAAAAGTCTGGGAGATATAAGATGCATTTCCCCACAATATTATGCCATATCTGAGGCGGGAATGAACTTTCCAAAAATATACATAATGAGCAGTATGGAGGCGGACTGAATTTGGAAATTCTGTAAGGGTAGCATAAAGAACTTCATTTAGTGTTCAATTCATTTAAATGGACGTTTCATTTAAGGTTTGATTGATTGAAAGACCTAAACATTTTGTTACCTTAACATCAGTTAATGGCACACTGTTCATTTTTAATGGGAGTACAGATCTGTTTATTTGATA